CGAGCCGTCCGGGGCAGCGCTGCCCCCGGGGCAGCTGGGCTTCGGCAAGCAGCATCAGGCAGCCCGCGAGAGAGCCCTGCTGGTGGCTTTCTCCCGTGCCCAGCGGCGGGAGAGCCTCTTCAAGGAGCTCCGGGACAAGGTCAAAGCCCTGGGCAGCCCCCTGGTCTCGGGGCCCGGCGGGGAAAGCCCCCCCAAGCGCAGGAGGAGGCGGCGGCGGCGGCGGACTGCGCTGGCCGCCCGGTCTGGGGGCAGGGGGCAAGGCAAGAAGGCCAAGACGCGCTGCAGCAGGAAGCCCCTGCATGTCAACTTCAAGGAGCTGGGCTGGGACGACTGGATCATTGCCCCTCTGGACTACGAGGCGTATCACTGTGAGGGCCTCTGCGATTTCCCCCTGAGGTCGCACCTGGAGCCCACCAACCATGCCATCATCCAGACCCTGATGAACTCTATGGACCCCGAGTCGACCCCCCCCAGCTGCTGCGTGCCTTCCAAGCTCAGCCCCATCAGCATCCTCTACATCGACTCCGGGAACAATGTGGTTTACAAGCAGTACGAGGACATGGTTGTGGAGACCTGCGGCTGCAGGTAGCAATGTCTGCTGTCTCCGCCAGCCCCACCTCGTGTCTATGCGTATTCCTGGCACGTGCCTTTTGAAAGTAAAGGTAAGAAGAGGCATCGCAGCCGTCCTCGCGAGGCCCCGTCTGTTGTATCCAAGCAGGCAGGGTTTGCTGTTCAGACCCTCTGCCTGCAGGGTCTGACGCTGGAGGGAGAGATGCAGCAGGAGGTGCAGGATCATTGCTGGGTGCTACGGACTTTCCCCACAGGCAGTGGTCTGTACATTTGCTTCCCTAGGTAAATCTGCTCCTCAGCATTGTTCTGAAACCATCCTGCAAACGGGCACTTTCAAAGGAAACAAAACAAAACAAAAGCCCTCCATGGCTGTTTTTCCAGGAATTACAATCTTCAGTACACCTATACAGACACTCGCTGTCCCACCCTGTCTAGGAGGTCAGAGGTAGCGAGTCTCTCTCTCTCTCTCTCTCTCTCTCCCTCTCTTTGAAATGGCCCTGTCCTTGTTCAAGCGAAACCATTGACATTTCCCTATTGGAAGAACATTTCATTTCTCCCCTCACGGAGGATCAAGGAAGTTGCAGCCAGTTGCCTGAAAGGTGGATAGATGGGTGCCGTCTAGTTTCGGAGGCAAACCAGGGTTCAGCTCGTGATCGGTTTGAAAACCCTCTTTTTTAAGGGTTTGTAATGTGGCTGTGAAATTTCCCATGGGATGAAATCAGAGTGCCTGCTCTTAGCCCCGGGAACATTTTGCTATTGTTTTCCTGAGTTGAAATGATTTTAACCCCTGTCCAGTGCCGTGCGCACACAATGGCCAAGTTCGGCTGTCCGTTGCCTGGCAGCTGGATTTAGTTCCAAACATCTGTCATACGGTGCTCAGCGGGCCTTATTCTGCTTTGCCTTACCAATATTTTAGTGCATGTCAAATAGAAGTCTGTGGAGTTTAACTGGTGTAAAACTGATGTAAGAGATAGGCGAATCCTACTCAGACATCTTACCAGCCCATTGTAGCAAACAATGCTGGTTCGACAGGACTTAAACAGTGATGTGTTATGACTGTAAAAGAATCCGACACATACTGGCTTGGGAGGCTTTTTCATGCTCTTCGAAAATTACAACGATCAGTTTTTGAACCAGGAAACTTTGCAAATGATTTTCCTGCAGTGGGGCAAGCCTTGCTCAGTCCTTTGAATTGAAAAGGGGCTACTCTTAAGAGTAAGCACCTTTTTGCAATTATAGTACTCATTCTCAATTATATCCTGGCTAGCTGTCATATAGCCAGGAACAAAAATGACGAATTGCCAAGGAGATGCTGAAGAATGTTAACTACCTATTAAGAACCTGCTTGAAGGGTTAGGGAATGAACAATAGATTTCAGGCCTCATCTTGCTGCACTTAGGCATGCAAGACTCCCATCGACCTTCATCACATTCTGATTTTCCAGGGCATTATCCCTTCATTCGTTGGGTTAAAGAGAAATTCAAGGAGTTTAATTCTGGTTGCACTTTGTAAATTATGGAAAAATTGTGAAAGATTCAGAAAGGAGCTAAGAGACCTAAGAGTCTCAAACTAGTTTATTCAAAAGGAGGTTACGAAAGAACTTCATCACCGTTGTAAGTGGGAAAGAGATTTTGGGAAGTAGATGGCTTTTTAGTAGTAAAAAGTAGGTACATCCAGACCCAATGTTTGGAAGCTGAAGTGAGGTAAAATCAGACCCGAATTAAAGCCTGTGTTTTGAACACGGAGAAATGTTAACCATTGAAGCAACTCGCTGATGGATTCTGTGGTTTTATATGACTTGAAGTATTTGAATCAAGGCTGGCTGGTTTCCTAATGTGTGCTATTGCATAGACAGAATTCATTGTCTACATGGAGAAATTGCTAGGTAGTATTCTGGGGACTGTGTTCTCATTAGTCTAAATGAATATAATGGTTCCTTCTGGCTTTAAATCTATGAATCTGCAAAATTCGTCCGATGTCAATAATTTGCTCTAATATGCAGAACACAGAAGCAGGCCCAAAGACTTAATATCTTTAAAACCATTTTTGAAAGAAGATAAATGACTGGATAGGTCCTGCAGCCCCACAGAGAAAACTCTACCATTTCAACTATTTTCTTCCCCTCCCACCCCCCCAAGCAAAATGCCTTATGATTGCATATTGGCAGATAAAATCAGACCGGGGTTACTCACATAGGCTCAAAGAGCATGCGAGCAAAATATTTGCTAGCATTTGCACTCCGACCTTGAAAGCTGAACAATTTACCTGTTGCTCTGCTCGTAGAGATCCATAGAAGACTCATCACAACCCAATGTCCATCTATATAGAATTAAACGGGGGCACTCTGTACAATGCCAATCGGACCGAGTAATTTGGGCAGCCTGCCAACCTAAGTAGTACTTATGCTTTGAAGTCAGAAATACGTATGAATCACTCTCAGGGCAGAAGTGAGTGTCCTGGGTCTGGTGCTGTATAAGACAGGCTAATATTCAGTCCTGAATTGCTCATACTTTCTCTTCAGTAATTTAGCAGATCCTTTGCAAAAGAGCGTGTGTTTTCTACTATCAGTTAAAATATTGCCAAATGTGCATCAGTGCCTGGTAGCTACGGTCCTTTGCTTTCGTAGGAGTTAAATTAAATGTTGTAACTTTGCCTAAGCAGCTAAACTTTCCCAAAGTTCAGAGGTGCCTGGATCTGGGGATTTGATTGTGCTGTTGTAGAGGGAAGGGGTAACCTCCGAAAACTAGACCAGGATCCAACTATTTTAAAGTTCAGAAAAGTTTGGACCAAGGGCTTGGTTCAGATCCAACTCGAATTGTAAGAAACCCCCGGAGAGGATAATACAGTTACAGAGAAGAAACCATACAACATTAATAATAATGAAATAGATGCTGAGCAAGATCCCTACCTGGCATAGCTCCATCGTAACTCCAGCTGAGGATCAGGCCCTCGAAATCTAGAGGGTAGGGAAGAAATTTTGCACTGTCCTAAATGAACTTTAATCCCACCGACTACTTTGGATTTATATCAGTGCAACAGAGAGGGAAATTTGGCTTCGTATAGCGGAACGAATGTAAATAAGTGCTAAGTATGGCATATTCTTATACTGGGATTATTCTGACACACAGAGGTTAGCAGCGAAAAGGAAGGCTTGACTCCTTGCCAGTGGGCTTTTTAAATTTAAATTTCTATTTTTTTGTATTATGACTTCCCTGTTGATCCCAGCTCTCTGTGGTTAGAGGCTTGTAAATAATGCTAGCTAGGTGACAGGCATTTCACAAGGCTAAGCTGGGGCAAGTGCTGCAGCAAAGGTCAGCTGGAGACTTCGCAGGTTTGTTTCAAGTTTCAGCGTTATTAAGAATAAAAGTTAGGAGAGGCTATGAAAAGTGAGGAGGCTGCCGTGAACTGCTCTGCAGCAATTTGTTCTGGAAATATCATGTCATTTTCTTACAATGTCACTGAGCCTTTTTTTTTTTTGAAGCTGCTGGATGCTTTTTTTTTGTTTTTCTTGCTGCTTTTTCTCTCATTTACTTATTTTTCCAAATAAAACCCTTTGCATGACAGAGGTTCAAAGCTGGGCTGTACCATATCCAGAGCTGAATGTCCTTGCCAGCTGGGGGCTGTTAATGGCCCTTGGCAGACTGGTGGCCTCTAACCAATTACTAAGTGGCGGAGGGGCTACATCACAGAAGACATTAACACGAGTGACAGTAATTGACATTCTTGCTGACAGCCTAAGTGCCTAGGAAAGAAAGGGCCCTGGAGACAGAATTCACCTATCAGTCCGAAAGCTCCTTCTGAACAAGGTTAGCCACCGCATTGATGGGTGCTACTGAGAGATCTGCGGTAGATTGACCTACACTGGCATGCCGGTGGATTGACAGCCTGTAGAGCTGCTGCCACCATTCGGTACTTTGCCTGGTCTCGGCGATGGAGGGGGAGGACCAGCATGATACAGGCTCTGGAGTTCTGTCTGGCCTCTTTCATGATCACAAAATTAAGACAAAAAAAGAGGGTCTGGAACAGAGAGAGAGGTCACTAGTGACTGTGATCTCTGATGACGTCTCTTGTTTGTTCATATTTGAGCCAATCATCAAGTTGCATCTCTGATTGCCCCTCTGAACAGGCATGTTTGGTTTTAGACAGGGAGAACTAGAGCTGCACATCTGTCAGAAAAGCACCTCTTCTGCCCTTTTTATTGCCTGCAAAATGTCAGGAGAATTTAATCAGAATAGCAATCACAGAGAGAGAAAGTGCGGAACAAAGGCACATTTATCTTCTATAGTGTTGCTTTTCAGGAAGAATCTGATTCCCCTTCACTTTCCACAGAGGAACAAGAGCTTTCAGTCTGTTTTGGCCACAAGAAACTTCTTTTTTCCTCCTGTTTCTTATTGAAGGCTGGGGCTTTATCTGTCCATTAAAATGCAGTCTGCAAAAACGCTCGTGTTCTAAGCGGGGAACAAGAACAGAGAGTCAGTCTTTGTGAATACTGGGACAAACGTGGCCTTCAGTTATAACAGTGTAAATCCTGCGTGACTCCTTCGAAGTTAAAGGTGTTACTCTGGATTTACACCTGTATAACTGAGACCCCAAACTGGGCACCGCCTCCTATTTTGAATAGAGCAGCTATTCCGATTCTCAGCGAGGATATCTTTGTTGCAGTGGGGAGGTGTAAGGAGAGTACGGTATTGTACTTGCACTGAGTGCAAATCAAGAAAAACTGTTGCGGTTAATCAGTACAAAGCTGGTGTAAGTGAAACCTCTGAGGTTCAGTTCATCTTTAGCACAACCTGATATAGGATATGATTCCTGGGAGGGATGGAAGATGGTAAGATAAAGCAGAGCTGGGATGGAGTTCTTTGTACATGTGCTCACTACTACCTTCTAGTGGCAAGGAGCATTGCTCAGCATAACTCAGTTGATGATATAATCCTTTCCTCAGTTTTTCAGCTTGGAGTACGGGGGCTTATTCTTGAAGCCAGTGCTTGCAAGCTCGGTTCCTTAGGTCAGTCTGCAGACAACAATTGTCTCTGTGCAGAGTTTTTTGCAACGTCATTCCAAAAAAG